AGAGCCTGGGTGGTTCAGTCGTTAAGCGTCTGCCTTCGGCTCAGGTCATGATCCCAGGGTCCTGGGATCGAGCCTCACGTCGGGCTCTCTGCTCTGCTGGAAGCCTGCTTCTCCCTCTCCCACTCCCCCTGCTTGTGTTCCCTCTCTCGCTGTGTGTCTCTCTCTCTGTCAAATAAATAAAATCTTTTTAAAAAATTAAATTAAATTTTAAAATGATTAATGTATCAAATTTATTGCATAAAGTATAAAATAATTTTTTAAAATCTTGATGCCACCAATAAAGTTCTATTCTAATAAAAAAAAAAGAAAAATAAAAGAAGATTCGTTTGTCTTAATTCTATTTCTTAATTCTTAATTGGCATGGCATTAGGGGACCAATTAGGTAGGAAAATCCTATAAATAAGTTGCTCTAGTGCTGAGTAGGATATATCTCCAATCTTCCTCAAACATATATGTTTAATATATTTCCATCACTTTTCATGATGCCTGTAATTTACCAGCTAAACCTTCATTAGGGTTTTGTTGCCAACAACTTAGTAAATTTTTTGGCCAACTTGAACTAAGTTCTCCTACATATGTTGTCTAAAATGGATAGCTACAGTAATTCTGTAATCAGTACAGAATTAAATTTAAGAACCTTGAATGGTGGCTAAGCCTCTAAAATTCTGCAGTTTTTGTCAACTCTATTTCTTTCAAATGAGGTACAAAAGCACATAAGGCAGCTAAGGTAAAATTTCCAGACTCTGATCACCTCTCGTTGATTACTATGTATGGGTTTTGTGTGCCATGTCCATAAAAATACAATTGTGTAACAGAAAGAACAGGGATTTAGAGAGGATCTGATTGGCCCAGCTTGAGTTACATAGTAGGCAGGATTCTAAGATGGCTCCCAAGAAACCTGCCCCAGCTACATGTACAGACCCTATATAATCCCCCTTACTTGAGCTGGATTTGTGAACATAATGCAAGTCACTTCTGCAATCACATTATATTACATAAAACTCCACTGTAGTAAACTAGAGAGTAATTCTTCTGGTGGCCTTAAAGAACCAACCTACAACCAACTATCATGTTGTTGAGAGGGCCACATGACCAGGTACAACCTCTAGCAGCTGAGAGTGATCCTCCACTGACAGGAAACAAGTCCTACAACCACAGGAGCTGAATTCTGCCAACAACTAGTGATCTTGGAAGAGGACCCCAAGTCTTAGATAAGATCAAAGTCCCAGTCACCGCCTTGAGATCTGGTCAGACCCTGAGGAGAGGACCCAGCCAACCCACAACCACACCCATGACCATATTCCTGACACACAGAAACTGTGAGATAATAAATTCATGTTGTTTTAAGTCACTAAACTTGTTGTAATTTGTTATGCAGCAACAAAAAAACAATATAAGTCACATGCCTACCCCTTGACCAGAAGACAGTGGTATACCTTGATTAACAGCTGAAGTAAGGCTGCAGCCAATGGAGGAGGAGTGGTCCTCTTTAAGCACAACTGAAGTGTCACCACTAGTTGAAAGGATGGATACTGGAATAAAAAAAATTTAAAAACTCACCAGCCACAATATATTCAGTATCTGACATCTCATAGGCCTTCAAATTTCAACTCACAACTCTCCCCTACTCAGTAAACTCCGTCTACTGCCATATACACACTTCCTGATCTACACACCACTGGACCAGAGACTAACAAAGAATACATGAAGGCATCAAAATCTAGTAAGAACAGGGGTGCCTGGGTGGCTCAGTCGTTAAGCGTCTCCCTTGGCTCAGGTCATGATCCCAGGGTCCTGAATCGAGCCCCTCCCGCCTGCTTCTCTCTCTCCCACTCCCCCTTGCTTGTGTTCCTGCTCTCACTATCTCTCTCTCTCTCTCTGTGTCAAACAAATAAATAAAATCTTTAAAAAAAAAACAAATGACAGTCTTGAATCTTCCACTAATTAGCTACATGACCTTGGGCAAGCCATTCATGGGCCACAGTTTCCTGTCTGTAAAAAAAAAAAAGGGATTAGACTAGCTTTAATGTCTCTTCCAACATTAAAACTATGATTTTTTTAATTCAAAAAACAAAACCCCCAAAATAATTCAAAATAAATTTTGATTGCTGTAAAAAGAAACCATCTGCTCCTAAACACATGGCCCATCCCCCTCAATATTCTGCCTCTGAAAGTGGCATCAAGAAAGGTTTTTAAGGGTGCCTGGGTGGCTCAGTCGTTTAAGCATCTGCTGTCGGCTCACGTCAGGATCCCAGAAGTAAGGAGCCTGCTTCTCCCTCTGCTGCTCCCCCTGCTTGTGCTCTCTCTCTCAAATAAATAAATAAAATATCTTTAAAAAAAAAAAAGATTTTGAGAGAAAGCCACAGATATTTGCCTTCCACACCAAATTAGCTTGATAAAAACTACCACATAAAAGAATCTGGGGTTAGTACAGAGGAGGAGGCAATCAGAATGACCAGGGGATCTTTACAGAGTTTTAAAAATGTCCATGGTTGAAAATCAATGTTTTATGATGTTACTGTCATGAATCATAATACATTTATGTTATAATTATGTTGGAAACATGTATTTTGCTTCTTTTCCCTTAGCTGCCACTCACTGCATTAAATGGCAATGCTAAAAACTAAGGTTGCATCTGAAAGAATTCATTTGTAAATTCACGCTTTTTGAAAACCTATAATAATTTTGATCTCTTGGCTCATTTTCGTAATATGATAAATCAGGAAAAAGGCAATTTCATTTTCTGAAAAGCCTACATTAACTCAAATAAGCTGAAAATAAAACATTAATGTAGTTATTTCACTTCTGAAATTTTGCAAAGAAATTTTAATCACAGTTGTTCTCACCAAATACACATTAACTTTGTAATAGATTCTTTTCCTTTGCAGTCTTCCCTTCCTCTCAAAATTAAATCAAAAAATGAGCACAAAACCTTCTGGATAGATTTTTTGGTTAAACTATCTTCACCATAATCAATTCCCATTACTGTCAAGCTTTTAAGCAAGTGAGGAGAATTCCTAAGAGGAGAAGGGAAAGTTAAGAGAAAGAGCTTTCAGTAAATATTACCATTTAACTGCATTTAACTTTAAAAAGACTTCCAAATCAAGGTACGACTAATGAAGTAAGATTAAATGATAGGTTATCTCACAGCACATGTAGAATATTAAGAACAAGAATAAAGGACAGAAATTTATTTCTTCTTAGATAGTCTCTATTGGAAAAGTGCCAAATAAAGTTCACATATATGATAAAATTCATGCCTGGGATTGTCGGGAATAACTTTGGTCCCATACAGTATTCAGACAGAAACTGCGACCATTCCTGCAGCTTTGCCAAATTAAAAACAAAGATAAAAATTATAAAAACAATTTCAAACCAGATAAAAATTCCTATAATTCTTAAGTATTTTGTTCCCCTTCTTTAATTAAATCGGTTTAGACACAGCACCATAATTTAGTTAGAAGAAAATGGTACCAAAAAGTCTCAAGAAAATTCACACATAAAGTGAGGTCACTCAACATCCGGGTTTCCAAAAGACAAGGATTTGCCTTCCATTAACACTATGAGATAGATGGTGAAGTTTCCTTCCAGGAACACTTTTAGTATTTTAAATTTAAAAAAGAAATTTAGAAATTTAATAAAAGGTTGCCTTTGTTGTTGTTACCAAATCGTGCATCAACAGATAGCACCAGCTGCTGGGTGCGGGGGCGCGGGGGAGCGGGGGGCGGTGGGCGCCGCCTCCACGTGCGAGGGTTGGAAGCTGCGCGTGCACCCAGGAGTCGGCAGCGCCAAGCCACGGCCGGTCCCGGGCCTCTGTTCCCTGAGGTAGGCGGCAGAGTACCGACCGACCTACCCGGTTCTGAGAGCTTTAACAAAGTAACTCAAAAAGTAAAAAAAGGACCCAGCGCTGAAGGGAGGAAATTAATGATACTTAAAGGTAGAAAGCAGACCTAATGCGCAGAACTTGGTTCTCAAACCACGTCCAATGCTCAACACTTGAGAGAGCAGAGACCACACTTGGGGCCCGATTTCTTCCAGCAGGGACCCTTGGGGAAGAATGAGAGAGGACTGCTTGAGCAGAAGCTTGGGGCAGGCGAGGCCACAGACGGCGACCCGACTCCTCACGCCTCCCTCCATTATGCACAGAGGAAGGCTCAGCAAGACGCGGTGAACGCGGGAACGCAGCCGAAGACGCACACTCCCGCAGAAATGCGGAAATTTCCCAGAGCGCAGGCCCGCAGCACTCAATGAGATAGGTCTTTGTTTCACAGCTATCTCGATTACCTAATGAGGAAGTGGGAGGGCAAAAACATGGTCAGCGACCAGAAGCCAAACAACTTTGTGATTTTCGGAGTTCAGCGAAGGGAAGGGTTTCCCAGACGTTCTGCTTAAGGGAGTTTACTTAAACTACTTAAGGGGGTTTCTCTTACTTCTCCGTTTACACGATAGAGTTCACACAATTTGAGCGGTCAACCTCTGACGCTTTCTGAACCGAGCTGGGAAGGTTGTAGGCTCCGCCTTTTAGTGTGCATAGCGCGCGTGCGCGCAGTTATTGCACTAAAGCGTCTCCGCGTTTCTTTCGCCTCCGTGGCAGCGATGGCCGAGTGGTTAAGGCGTTGGACTTGAAATCCAATGGGGTCTCCCCGCGCAGGTTCGAACCCTGCTCGCTGCGGAAGCAGGTGGCTTCACTTTTCCTCTTCTAATATATGCCATTACATGAGAATCGTTAACTCTAACTGCTGCATTTCCCTTCCTAGTAGCCAAATGGCTCTCCTACAGAGAAGTTTAATGTGTTAAAGAAAAGCCAATAAATGTCATCGCTGCAAATGTAACTATGTATACGCTAAAGGGAAAAATCGTCCTTTGTCCTTACCAGCAAGGTAGCAGTTTAGGAATCTTGTTCCACAATGTGAAGAAAAGTTTGCAAAATTAAAATAAGGTAAATATTGGCACAAGTTTTTGGGCTATCACAGCCCAAACAAGCTATCATATTAAAACTGATGGTGGGTGGAGGGATGGGTTAAATAGGTGATGAGCACAGTACACCTGAAACTGATATAACTCTGTATGTTGACTATACTGGAATTTAAAAACTTAAAAAAAAAACTGATGGCAAAGTTAATGCTGTTACTTCTTCAATCCCAGAATCACCTTCGACAGTTCCCCCACTGCATGAAATGGGAAACAAGAATGTTTAAAAGTTTGACTTCTATACAATGATAGATACGTCTACAGAATGGAACACTGCATGTAGCCACTAAAGTGATAGTGATGACTTGAAAAGGCCTTCTCAGTTTTGCCAAATGCAAAATGTTGGACAGATTGGAAAACAATAGATATTATAATCACATTTTTGTTAAACTATTTATAGAGTCATTTTGTGGCAAGAATGGGAGAAAACGACTAAATAGGGGCTGCAAAGAAATAATCAAAATGTTAGCACTAATTATTATCTCTGGGTAGTGGAATTTGGGAGGATTTTAATATTTTTAACAGACAATTTATTGCTTAACTGAGTTTTCTAAAATTTGTATATTGACCCAGTTTTTTTTATTTTTTTAATAATAAAAGAATATTGTGCGGTTAGCCTTTGAGACTGCACACATCCCCTTTCTGCTCCCTTTCACCTATTTTCACAATCTCCCTCCCACTCCATGCTTTCCAGGTGCTCTTACGGAGTTCCCTAACACTTCAATGCTGGCTAGTTTTCTGTGGTACCTGAAGTAGATTCCACCCACATAGACCCCATCCCATTTGAGTAGTGGCTGAACATACTTACCACATTCACATCTTCAATCCATCCTCTCTGCCCAATCCTACCTCTTCTGCCCCTATTGAAGTCACTTTTAAATGGTCGTATTGGTTTCCTAGTTGGTCTCCTTTCCTCTCATTCAGGATCACATTCAGCTGCAAATAACAGAAAATCCAACTCTAGTGACTTAACACAAGAAATCTGGGAGTAGGCAAGTTTCAAATGAAACAGGGAACAGAGCTCTCCCCATCTTCTCGTTCTGCCATTTTAATGCATAGGCCTCATCCCCTGCTTGTTGTCTCATTCTCCTAAGATGGTTGCTATACCTCCAGAGCTCACATCTGTATTCAGCTAGGAAGGGGAGAGACAAGAACCCTCAGTTTGGGTCTCATTGACTTGAACTGTGTAACATGGCCATCACTAGCTACAAGGAACTCTAGCTGGGTATATAGCTACCCAAATCAAAATTGGAATTGCACTGGTAAGGAAGACACATGAATGGTTACTGAGTGGACAACTAAATGAATCTGCCACACGCCTTTAACAGGAAAGTCAAACTTGTAGGCATAAAACAAGTCCCCTGTCTGCCTTCCCAGCCCTCCTTCCCTTCTCTCCAATCTCCTTTTGAGTTATTAGCAGGCCTCCCAGCACTGCATGCTAGTTCATGCCTTCGAACCTTTCTACATATTCACATACAATTACCTGGAATATCTTTGTCTTGCCTTCGTCCTTCTCCCCTCATTAGGAAAAGAGGGCCGCGCATCATTTGAACTCCCTTTCTATTTAGAGAACTTTCTCTCTTTTTGAATCCAGGTGTGAGACAGCAATCCATCCTCCTGCCCCATCCCCATCATAGAAGCTGAAAAAGCCACGTATTTGCTTATCAAGAGTCCCTTGCAGCTACAGAGGCAGTCAAATGTGCCCACCTGCAACTTTCAATCAGAGTCATTAATGCAAAGAAGCAGGGAGGGTAAGGATCCATCCTGGTGGTGAGCAGAGGCTACAATGACAGCCACAGGCATTGCTAACAGCAGCAACACCAAGGCTGCAATTGGGGTTTACAGCTGTTCAGCATCAGTGACACTATTGTCTATACCAGACTGGTTTTGTGGTGTCATTCTGAAATGATCCTGGATTATGCCTAGCCAACTTACTCCTCTCCGTTCTCCAAAAGCAGCTTTGCAGCCTTCCTGGTAATTTTATGAACTATTCAAAATCCTTACAGTAAGTCAGTAAGTTTTCTGCTTAAATCAGCCCCAGTTTTTGTTTGTTTGTTTTGTTTTTTTTTTTTTTTTTGCTTCCAAATACCAGATAAGCTTCTCTCCTCACCCCACCAACATGATAGAAACTCATGTTTTCTCTTCAAGTATCACCTTAGGGGTAAAGCATTCCTGCGATCCCCAAGCTGACTCATAAGACCCTTTTATATTCTCCTATTCCCTATTATAGCAAGGATCACATTGAAATATTTCTGTCTTGTTTGCCTGTCTTCCCACTAAGTGCCAATTTCCCTGCAAATACATGAAGGAATCGTGTCTCTCATCATCATACCCCTGCCTAGCACAGAAAAGGTACTCAATAAATTTGTGAGAAAGGACTGAATAAATATATGAGTAAGCACACAAAACCACACTCCACCCCAAGAATGCCCCAGAAAAGGGGATGAAGGAGGTCAACAGCCATTTTCCTTTCGAGAGTCACTAACCTTTGCTTTAGTATGAGCTAATTTAATATATAGTATCCTTCTCTCAATGTTTTTAAGAGGAGAGAGAACAGAACCCCAACAATGTATCCCTCCTTCCCTTCCCAATGTCTTCCCTTTTCTTATTTCTTCCTCGCCTTCTTTTACTTTTTCTTCCATTCCCTTGTCTTCCAGCACCTTCAAAGGGCAGATTGAGCCAGGAAGCAAGCACCTGCAGCACCTTCTTCTCTGTGGGTCAACTCCCATTCCCATCTCCCTGAGAGCGGTTCACTTTCACACTGGCCTCCATGTAACCCAATGTCAGCTCTCTCCATGGCAGAGAATCATGGAAAGGAAAATCCATGGGGGACTTCAGAGGAGATGTGGAAGAGGTTCTGCAGTGCACTCCTCAGAGGAGGGACACTACTTTACACCTCTTTCCATGTTTCTCTTCTCCAGAGTCCTCCCACCCTCCCACCTTCCTGTACATCCCCTGGAGCCTGTTTTTTCCAATCCAAGTTCACAAGATGCATGATCTTGAAGACTGCCCCTCCAGACCCCAACTTTTTCACTATTTTATGATACAGAGCAATTCTCTGTGCATTGGCCTCAGTGTGCCCAGCAATCAAAGAGCCTCCCCTTAGAAGGCAGAGGAGGTTATAAATATGACACCAAAATCTCCTTTTTCCCTAAATATTTCTCTACTCACTTTATTAATAAAAGATAAATCCTGCAACTTCCCAGAATCCAAAGGTTTTAAATGTAAATAGACTGCAGTGAATTATTTGCAAATGCAGAACTCATAATCATCCCTTCCCTTCCAAATCCAGTTCCTTCTCCATGATCTTCACCCAGTTCACAGCATCTCCAGCCACGGAGCAGGACACACCCACTTGGAATCACCCTGAAACTTCCTATCCTTCACCATAGTTCCTATCCAACCTAAGTGTCACTGAGTTTACCCTGAAGTATGCTCAGAATCCACTTTGTTCCAAATCTACCTCTACCACCCAGTCTAAATCAACATGACCTCTCACCTCGACCACTTCTCAGCCTCCTGTCATTCACTCTTCCCCCGTTTCAATCTGTTGTCCATAAAATAAAATTTTCTTTAAAATGCACATTTGATCTTAGAACACTCCTCCTGCTGGGGATTCCCATGTGCTCTTAACAGTACAGGCTAAAATCCTTAGCATGAACCCATGTCTTCCAATGATCCAACCAGCATACCTCTTGGATTTCTCCCATTCATTCTCTAGCCAGACGTACTGTCCTTTCTTTTAGTTCCTTGAAGAGACCAGGCTCTTTCTCAGCTTAGGAATTCTACATGTTCCAACGTCATCCTCGTCTTTAAATTGGTCAGGTCCCCTTCTTATATGATTTCATACCATTTAATTCTTTTTTCCACAACACTTATCAAGCTATGAAATACATTAGTATGAATATTTGCTTGGTTTCTCCTTGTGTGTGAACATGTGTGGGGCGTGTCTGTGTGTGTGTGCATTTAACCACTAGATCTCCTTATCTTGTACTTAGTGGGCCCTCAATAAATAATTTTGTTGAACAAAAGTGTGGTTGGGAAAGTCAGAGAGCAAGAGTTCTCAGAATACCTGAAGCAGTGGGAAATAGAGTCTCTAATGATGGTGGGTAGACTCTGTTTCCCTTCAACTTTGGGAGATGAATCAAAACTGTGCCTGAACAGATTTGTGCCCTGACTGCATAGATCAGCAGGAATATTGCAGCAGAAACACCTGAT